TGCCCGATGCCCACCTTGTCCCCCAGCCCAGAGCACTGAGTGCCACGGCCAGGCCTTCCTGGGACACCTCCAGTGCTGGGCTCTCCAAACCTCCCTGGGCAGCCCCTGCCAAGGCCTCACCACCCTTTCCAGGAGGAAATTCCTCCTCCTGTCCCACCTGAGCCTCCCCTGGCACTGCTGGAGGCCGTTCCCTCTCCTCCTGTCCCTTGTTCCCTGGGAGCAGAGCCCGACCCCCCCCCGGCTCCCCCCTCCTGTCAGGGGGTTGCAGAGCCAGAAGGTCCCCCCTGAGCCTCCTTTTCTCCAGGCTGAGCCCCCCAGCTCCCTCAGCCCCTCCCCACCATCTCCTGAGCGGGGTCATGAATTAGGTGAAACCTTCCAAGTCTTGCTGGCTTTAGAGGAACAGAAGTCTGACACTTCCTTAAACTGTAGCATGAGGAGAAAGGTGAATTTCTCCCACTCCAGGTTCACCCCACTGGTGTCCCTGACAGGATGGTGGCTGCTATGTGTGGAATTTTAATCCCCTCAGACACTTCCTTACTGACAGAACCAATAGCAAACCAACTCTGTGGCTCTGGAACCCCAAAGCCCCAAATGCAAAGGCATTGAAATCACCTCCACATCGCTGCCTCATGCAAAGGAACTTGCCCAAGAGCACATTAATGCAGAAGCCCTGTTTGCAGGGTCTCCTTGCAGGAGTGGGAGCCTGTGCTCCCTCCCTTCCCCTGGAATTAGTATGCCGTGGTGAGGATCAAGGCCATTTGCACGAATATAAAATATTCAATTAAGAAGGCTCTGGAATATTTAATCATGACATTGAAATGCTAAGGAGTGCATTAACATTTATTATTCCCTATAAAGGATGGATCTCCAGTGCTCTGCCAGCCACTGTTCCATAACAGCCCTTTGGAGCTCCGTGTGGGTTTTTGGTCTCCTTCCTAAACCAGTGCTAAAAGGCAGCATTAATGCAGATTAGGTTAAACCTCATAACCACTGCAGAAACACTCCAAGAGAGAATGGAATTACCAGCTCGTGGCTTAAACAACTGAGGCAAACTGGGTTTATTCCTATTTCCAATTAGCAGAGCTGAGGTGGCAGGGAATTACACAGGGAGTCTTTCCAGCAGTGGCTTAGGCCACAGTGAAGAGAAAAACCAGGAAAAACACAGGATTCTGCCCAAAGCTCTGCCCTGGTTTGCCCTTTTTTGGATCAGGGGCTTGTTCAAACACTCAAGTTTTGATACATTTGTGACTTCTGAGGCGATTGCCATGAATGGAGAGGCTGCAATACAACCCTGCCAGGAGCAGCAACACTCAGATTCTGTAACTCAGCCCTAATTATGAGCCACGAGGATTTTTAAACTCCTTTGTTCTCTTCCATAACTTCTTGCCAAATCCTGGGACAGGTTATGACACTGGGAAGCCACTTCACGTCCCAGGGAAGCGACTCTGTGTTGTGGTTTATCCTCATCCTGAATCCAAACCACAGCCCTGCACCAGCTCCTGGGAGGAAAATTAACTGTATCCCAGCCAAACCCAGGGCACTCCATGCTCCCAGTGTGCTGTTTCCTAAAAACAGGAATAATAAATGTGTCTCCCAAACAAAAATCAGACATGCTGCCTTGCTATCAGTGGAGGTTACTCAAAGGGATCACTTATGAAATACACTCAAAATGTAAGAAAAGTGACAGAGACAAGTAAAAATAAATCCTTCCCAAGAAGGTAAAGGACAACAAGGATGTTGTAAAAGAATAATAATGGGGAAATTATTTTAATAGCTCAGATCTGTTATTGGGAAGGAATACAGTAATTTTTAGTATTAGAGAATGCATAAAATATCCATCCTTTGTGCTTGTGAAGATGCTGAGTAGGATCTTCATTTTTGATGGTAGCAACAAGATATTTCCCAGTCAACAGTGACTGTTTAAGTAAGATTATGAACCACCCCCAACCTCAGCTAATCACAGATAACTTTCAGGAAACTTTAAAGCCATTTTTGTGAGCTCCAGAATGTTTAATGTGCCAAACCAGACAGGCAACACGAGGCAGGCTGGGAGGGCTGGGGTTTGGGTGGCAGATTAATTACCAGGACACTGCAAAACTGATTGGATTTAATAAAAACTAGACCCCAACGCCCTACAGAAACATCCTGTGCCAGAATTGTAATTAATAACCAAGCTGGAAATTCTCATTCAAGCATCTGAGGGCGTGCAGGGAAAGGTGCTCACCGTGAGGATGTGAAATTCCTCCTGCCCCTGTGCAAGCAAAGCTTCAGAGCCCAAATTCCAAGACAAACTGGTGCAGAAGCAGCAGTGCCAGGGCTCAGTGATTCCAGCTGGGACAGTCACTGTAATATATATATTCCCTTTCCCCCATTCTGAGACTCGTGTAGTGTCTGGAAAAACCATCTCTCACTGGGTTGAGATGTGGGAGGGGGTTTGGACTAGGGAATTGGATTTTTGGGGCTCTCAAACCATGACAGAGGTAAGGCAGTTTTAGCACTGAGGTGACACTGGAACAACTCCCTAAGAGCTGTGGCTTCTTAATCAGATCAAAAATCATTCATAGAATTATGGAATATCCTGAGCTGGAAAGGACCCCAAGGACCATCCAGTCCAGCTCCTGGCCCTTCCCAGACACCCCAACAATCCCCTCCTGTCCCTCAGAGCCTTGTCCAAACCCTCCTGGAGCTCTGGCAGCCTTGGGGCCGTGCCCACTGCCCTGGGGAGCCTGGGCAGTGCCAACCACCCTCTGGGGGAAGAACCTTGTCCTGAGATCCAACCTGACCCTGCCCTGACACAGCTCCAGCCCTTCCCTGGGTGCTGTCCCTGGGAAAGGCACTTCTGTGGCCCACATGGCACCAAAATTCCGACAGTGTGGCCAGAATGCTTCTCTCCCGTCTGGGGACCCGTGAGAGCGGGAGCAGCGGCGCTGCACTGTGTGTGTGCAGGAGGCTCAGCTTTCCAAAGGCAGGGAATGCTGGGCTCGGCTGGGCTCCACGCGCTCGTTTTCCCGCAGCCTCGCCCGCGTTGGGAGAGCCGCAGCTGGGGCACAGCGAAGTGCCGGAGCCGTGAGCGCCGTGGATAACGATGCTGTCACACGAGCGCTTCAGGAGGAGCCTGTGCTGGCCAGCGCCCGCTCCCGAGGCCGGGAAGCGGGAAGGGAGCTCCTGCCATCTCGTGGAGACAAGCTCTCTGCTCCACATCACACAGCCCGCACGGCACACGGGGCTCCTCCTTCCCCAGCACCCCCGGAATGCTTGTGAGCCAGCCCTTCCCACCGGGATGCAGCAGGAAACGCCCTCTCAGCGAGGAGCCCCCGACAGTGCAGGTACCGCAGGCGGCAGCAGGACAAGTGGGCGACCCGGCCACGGGGCTGAGAGGCCCGGGATGGGTTGGGTGGGAAGGGACTTAAAGCCCACCCAGTGCCACCCCTGCCATGGGCAGGGACACCTTCCACCAGCCC